TTTTTTTTCGTTATTTTACTATTTTTTGACTGCTTCGCCATTGAAAAATCTTTTTAAAAATAATTTCTGGCTGGACCGGTTTACGGCCATGTCTGGGTATGTATCTCAACAAACGCTAATTAGCTTAGTCATTCCGAAAAGTACATGGTGTCATCTGCGTTTCATTTCGCATTCAAATTGTTCTGGAAAGCGAGGGGAAGGAGCAGTAGCTAAAATAGAATCACATTAGCAACTTTGAAGCCGCACAGAGCGCCAAAAATGTCCTAAGCAGTGCTCGTTGAAAAAAGTGAACATAAGCAAAAAAAATTTCCTTAACTATGATCAATTTTTGAATGTAATAAGTAAAGGTCTCTCGTCCCTGGGCATTTTTGCAGCAGTTTTTGCGTGTGTTAATGCCGTAGAGCTGACAGTTGCAAGCGTTCCAAAAATAATGCTCTTTTGCGATTGATTTATCGTATGCAAAACATTAGAATTTTGGATTCATTGCTCGATTCCTTTCGAATTTCTAATATTAACGCGTATCTGCGCGTGCAGCCGCAGGTCAAAAAAGAAAAAAAAAAGTCTAGAACGTGATTTCAAGCCATTTCACTCACTTTGTACCAAATCAACAGCTCCAGAATTTCAAGTTTTCGGTTCTCTATGTCTTGAAATACAAAACAAGCTCACGTTTAACCTGTAAGCCCTGTGACAGGATATAGAGAGGGCTGAAACCTATCATGTGAATCAATCAGAAAAAAATGATGCGATAGACTAATTTGCCAGCATTTCCACTTCGTTGCTGCCTTAATTTTTATTATATTCTAAAGTTAGACAAAATTTGGAGATAAGGTTAAACTTCAAAATAAAGCGGGAGTTGAAACTTGATTAATTGCATTTTATGCATATGGATTAAAATTGGTGGATTAATATTCGAAAATTTCGATTTGTATCTCGTTTGATCAGGAGATATAAAATTAGTTCAAATATATGCCTTAGGTTAGAACACTGAGAGAGATGTGAACTGTTTTTTATGCATTTATACAATGCAGAAACGCATACTGTCGAAGGGTTATCTTTGTGTGTATGTGTGTGTATATGTGTGTCTGTCTGCGCCCGTGTGAACGTCTGAACCGAGTTTTCATCTCGGGGTCTACAAAAGCTGCAAGGGTGAAACCTTATGTACGAGACATTATTTTCAAATTGAGCGCTCACTCCAACTTGGCTCTCATGCATGGACACATGAAGAATTTTATGGCAGGAAAGTGATTTCAAGAACCACGCAGACTAGAAGGCTGAAACTTTTCGAAGATATTCCTTGCCCACGTCCAGTCCAATGATTTTAAATTCAGCCTCCATGCACTCCTACGCCTTAAATACATACACGGCAAAGTTTAAATTGGCATCGAGTAAACTCTAGAATTAAACAGACCAAGAAGCTGTGGAGAGTTGCAATTTTGTAGCGTTGCTTATCACTCACTGGCGCGGCCGTAAAAGCAAATTGAGCTTTCCAGCCCCTCTGCTTCTCACATACGCATACGTGAAAATTTCATGTAAACAGTTTTGTGACTTAGGAATTGAAGCAGCTAGATGGCTGAAACTTTCTGAATGTGGCCGATGGCGGCGTTTAACTAGTTGGATGTGAAAAAAGCCTCATGCTCCTTTCGTGTCTCACGACATCTCACGCACGCATACATGGAATTTGACATAACTCCGCAACTGGAGCAAATAGAACGCTGAAATTTTCTGGGCATGGCCCATGACTGTATTTGGGCGATCGCGCATAAAAAGGACTTTCATGTTTCCCCACCACGCACGAGCACGTTGAATTTGACGTAACTTCGCAACCAGAGCAGGTGGAGTGCTGAAATTTTTTGAGCGTACCCAGGACTGTGTTTGGACAGATAAGCGTGAAAGCAACATCACATCCCTTTCACATACGGACACGTGAAATTTGACGCAACTCCGTAACCGAAGCACGTGGAGTGTTGAATTCTTTAGCAGGGATTGCGAGTCACTGTAGTAATTTCTGACATTCGTAGTGGCTAGACTCAATTCTTTTAGCCAGGAGCATTTGCCGGAAAAACAGTGCCGTTAGCGACAAAAATCTGCAGGGGAATTGTGCAAAAAGCGCATCTTCGCACCGACAGTCGGTGCGCTGGCCAATTTTTTAGGCTTGCGATCTCGCACGCAACCAGGATTACGTTCCTCACAATTTAAGCGCACTAGAGAGTACTTTCAAAATTTAAGCTTACAAGACCGCTTTCGTCGTTCTGCAATCGAATTATCACCACAAAGAGACAAACAGGTGCGTGCACACAAAAACATGCACACACATACATAGATACACATAAACACACTTGCCATAATGCATTCATTTTCACAGATGTAGAGTGGGTGAAAAAAAAAAAAAAAATTTAATAAGCCACTGTTAACAGCACAATTGTAACAAGCACTTCTGTAAGAGGAGCTGAAATGACTTATTTTCCATTCACTGCTTTGACCAACCCTCGCGAACGTAGTAGTATGCGTAAGTTATGTCTCCGCTGTAAAAGTGTCATTTGTCACTGACAACTGTAAGAATTTAAGTAGTGTTGACCTTGATAATTTTTTTTTTGTCAAACAAACTATTTGCTTTGAAGACTCGGCGCGAAGGCCATTTTGGACTATTAATACCTCCCTATGCTGCTGTCTGTGCAACTCAGTTCCACTCCGTCATCCTTTTCTCATCTAAACAGAATTTGCTTGAAACATTTAAGGTACAAAGGAAAGAATTCAAAAAATTGCCTAGCTGGTGTCCGAAAGTTCATTCTTGGAGAGAAAGACTACATTTCTTCTTCATCAGCTTGCATGATTTATTAAAATCTACGTGTATGTGCAAGTACAACTGGGCTCCAGACCAAGAAAGCAAGAAAATGAATTTTCATTCAAATCGAACCGCCGACTCATGTGTGGACACTTAAATACATTAACAGTGATGTTTCTAAAGGAAGCGACTCATGAATCCGAAATTTTTTCTAAGCGCTGAATCGACAAACTAAATTACGAAATACTTTTGCACCTACTGCCAACTTCACTAATTGTGCACATAAACGGCAAAAGTGTACAATCGTGCCAGTCTACCAAGGTACATGGCCCTACCAAAAATCTTTCATTAATCGCCCTATTATGCAAGTTGTCTTATAAAAATAAGATGAGCAGCAGTTGTTTGTCAAAAGACATCTGGAAATCTGCCAAAATCACTGCATTCAAAAAACTTATTTCATCAAAAATTTTAAAAAATTCAGCTGTTTGTTGCTGCTAGCTGGCGCCTCTTTACATTACCTGTAAACTCCTCTTGGCTTCTATAGCTGCGCGTATTCAGCAAAATTCATTAATTTATCTACCATGCCTTGTTTGTTCTGATGACATGTTTGTCCACTGCGAAAGTGCTTTGTATCAAAACCGGAAATGGTTCTGATAAAAAAAAACAAAATGTTGAAAAACTTTAAAAAATTGACGAAACAAAACGGCACTTCTTTTGGCCTCGGGGTTTTTTCAAGGCAGAAAAAAACAAAAATTTGCAATCTTCTTCAAAAGTGCCACATGCGGTGCCGTTAGGAAATTTTAAAATTCTTGTTTTTACATCACTTTATTGAAAATAATGCACTGTTCTGGAATGTAGGAGAACTTATGTTCTGCTTTTATGCCGAAAACGACAACCAGTGTTAGGTATTAGTTCAATTTTCGTGATGTGCAGTGGAAGTTGCTTTTTTCTAATATTTTTCAAGCGATTAGTTATCATTTGTTCTAGATGCCTTCATTCTAGGATTAATAAATTTAGGAGAGAAAACAATATGGCTCCGGTAATAACCTCAGTGAATATTTCCAACGTCAACCAGGCAGATGCTGAAAAAGTAAGTGCACATTGCTATTACTGTAAAAAAGTATTGGGATTTTATGAAAATATAATCGACACAATAGGTATGAAATTCATAAGCACATGACCAATGAAATTTAGTATGCGGAAGGAATGCGACAAGCCACAGAAGCGTTACGGGACTTAATGGAACTGGTAAATATGCCAGATTTTGAAGATCGCGAAGGTTGGAAACGCAAAAATTCGAATAAAAACGACGTTGTTTTCTCCAAGCGTTACTCGATGGGAAAAGTATTTACAATGAAGGTAGATTTTTTATTCAGTCGTCCTTCACCAAAGCCAGGCTAGTGTACACATACATATATATATAGTATACAGCATTTTTGGCTAGTATACAG